TGTAAAAAATAAGGTTTAAGAGACTTTCTAAAGATGTCTGTAGTATCAAAACTGCCTGTAATTAAAGAAACACCCACTCACTAAAAGTCTGAATACTAAGTACAGCAAACGTACACTGTATGTGACTAGAATAGTAGCCATAGCCACAGTGAGGCATAACTCATATACTGGTTCCAGCTTTAATAGCATGAGTCTCAGTCCCGCAGTTCTCCTCAAGAGAAACTCAGATTGGTTCGCGTGAGCAGCCACGGAGTCAGCGTTCACGTCAGTGCATTGATGCAGCAGCACTGTGATGTTCACGCATGAGTTATTTATACTGCAGACATCCAGGAATAGAACAGCCCTCCTCACCCAACCTCAATACTCACACGCAGCTGACATTTATAGAGACCAATCAAAGCCAGAGGACGTGTGAGGGGAAAAACCTCATCACATTATACCTTCATACACTGCTACAACTTCACTACTCGCTTAGTTCCAGGGTTCAAACCAACAACTTTTCAATGAGGAGCCTGGATCTTCTTTAACCACTAAACTACACCACCCTCTGTGTTACAGCATCAATCAAATCTTTGTTCACTGATTTCAAACATCCAATATTCAATACATAATTATGTACATCATTTTCATAATAGACAGATTTCAAAAACATGCAACAGTCTGCCATCTTGTGGCCACAAATGCGTGTGCATTTTTGGCAACAAGATTGTGCATTTAAATATTATTCATCTTTTTTGTAATTACATTTTAATATAATATTATATTTTTTATATATTAAATTATAATTTTATAACAGTTTAATTAAAATTAATATTAAATGATTACAGCCTATAGAGTATGTCAATATTAAATACTTCAGTAGAAATACATATTTAATAACAAATTAGTGCGAACAAAATCACAATTAAAACATTATAATAGAAAGTAAAATGAATATAAACTGATTATGACCAATAAATAGAATAAACATACTTTTTATTTTGCATTAGGCCTATAACTTTTCTGTTTTACGTAGATTAAAATCACAAGTATTTTTCAAACGTAAATGTAAAAAAAAACACATGAATTATTATGCAGTATAATACAATGTAATCAATTACCTATTTTTGAGTATGTATTAAGATACTTGTACTATTCAGTTGAACACTTGTGTACAAACCTGTGCAAAAGAAAAACTATAACAGTAATAGTAATATTTCTTTACATAGTTTTACATTTGTTTAAATGTAAATATGAATAGATTTTTATTTATACTACATTACAATACAACTATTTATTTTTTATAATTAAAAGCAAATCTGTGCAAAAATTCATCGCAAGCATATTATAATAGCAGAACTAAAATAAATATTAAATGATTGACATATAAATAAAATATTATTCTTCATTTTGTATAGGCTTTCTTTGTTTTATATTTTACAAAATTATACTTCTTTTGCATCTCTTTCAGAATTAAACTAAAATTAGCTAAAATATTGTGCAATTGCAGAATTTTATAATAGTAAAAACAATATTAAATAAATAAAAAAATCAATAATAAATCACTATTTACATTTTTAACCATAAACAGTCTGATTTTCAAATTTAAGTGTAAAAAACTTACATATTACAAATTATAATACAATACAATTCATTTATTATTTGATTTGCTTATTTATATATTTGCTTATTATACTACAAATGAAATACTTTTAATATTCCATTGAAATGTTTACATATTTAAAAGCAAATCTGTAAGAAATATGAAAAAAGAGGGGAAAAAAACCCACCTCTGTGTTCTCCTGCAGACTGTTTGCGTATGGTCACATTTGAGGGTTCATCAACTTTCAGCGTTTGAACTAAAGACTCAGGGGAGATTTTAGTTCCAGCAAAAACTCCAGAGGGGAAACTGAACGCCTACATGGAGAACACATGAAGCTCAATGAAGAACGATCTCATTTAGATCTTTAGGTCATCTGAGGAGAAATGACACTGGAATACAATATATGGCACTGACTTGTGAAATATTTAATAGCATACGACAAATGAATAATACAAACAAGTGGCCATACCATTGAATTATTATTTATACTGCTGTCAGATGTGTTGAGTTTGGTCTCTTGTGAATCTGTTTTTGTGAGTTGAATGGGCTGGATCTGTATCTTCTCCAGATTCCCCAGCGTGGGTCTGTTTTGGTGCTCATTTTCCAGCTTCACAGCGCCATGATGGAGCTTCTGCCGGACCAGTTTAATTTTCCCCACCATTCTGCCTAAGTATACGTGTTTTAATTTATTTTACGTTTATACACAGCGCAAACGTTCAGAAAGAGTCCCGCGCGTGTTAAAGTTGACCATTTGTTTGGTGTTGTTACAGCTAATATTGTCCGAGTAAAAATTAAACGGAAGATGAGTTCTGTCAAAACTCCTCCTCAGGTCGTTGAGGCTCGTCTACGCTTGAAAATGTTCAGGTATAGTTTTCCAACCATCTTTAAATCTTAAATTAACAACGCAAATTTGAACATAAAACACTTAACAAACGGCAATAGTAAAAAGAAATGTAACTTTAAATGTTACAAGAAGAAATGTCCGTTCCCATGGTTAAGCTAAGGTTAGTGTAGCAAAACCATGGTTAAGTTGTGGTCACCATAGTTTAACTATAGTAACCTTGTGGGCTTTATTTGTAGTAAAATCATGGTTAATTTTCGTAAGGGCTGCTCTGTGTCTGTTTTAAAATTTGGTGTAAAAACGTAATGCTGCATAAAAAGCCAGACTAAATTAAACCAGCTCTGACCTACCTCAGCTCCTAATATCAAAGCATAGTTCTGTTTGCTGTGTAAATACATTTATGCCATCTCTGAGCAGCATTAAACAGCTTTTGTAAAAACCCTAAATGCCATTTCAGTAGCACCTCTGTGCCACCTTCAGTGAACAACGGCTCTGTGTAGTTAATGCTGCTCAATGTGAAAGCACGCAGGTGATGGAGATTTACCGCTGATTACAGAACCGGCTTTACTGATAAGATGCGCGTTAAATATCGCATGCGATTAATCGTGCAGCCCTACTTTAAATGTTACAAGAAGAAATGTCCGTTCCCATGGTTAAGCTAAGGTTAGTGTAGCAAAACCATGGTTAAGTTGTGGTCACCATAGTTTAACTATAGTAACCTTGTGGGCTTTATTTGTAGTAAAATCATGGTTAATTTTCGTAAGGGCTGCTCTGTGTCTGTTTTAAAATTTGGTGTAAAAACGTAATGCTGCATAAAAAGCCAGACTAAATTAAACCAGCTCTGACCTACCTCAGCTCCTAATATCAAAGCATAGTTCTGTTTGCTGTGTAAATACATTTATGCCATCTCTGAGCAGCATTAAACAGCTTTTGTAAAAACCCTAAATGCCATTTCAGTAGCACCTCTGTGCCACCTTTGCACTGTAATTTTGGTAGTAGATGAAATTTACGCTGCAAAGGTGGCACAGAAGCACTTCTGAAGCGGCATTTAAGTGTCTTTACACAGTTTAATACTGGCCAGAGGTGGCATAAATTCATTTACACAAAAATTACAGCCTGGGGTGGTCAGAGCAAGGCATAATTTATTCTGTTTATCATGTGGCATCGAGTCTTTGCATTGAATTTTGAGCAGGCACAGAACAGCCTTACCTCAGTGGTGTTTATCAGAGTTTTGAGATCATTTTTAGTCACCTCATTCTTACCAAGTTGTTTATTCTCATTTATAAACTGGTATAAACCGGAACCTGTGTTGAAAACAGAAACAGGAAGTCCTTTCAAAATGATCTTTATTATTCTTTAATGAATATGGCAAATGAATACATACGTACACAAGCAAAACAGACAGTTTACAGATAGTTACTGAACAATATTACAAAAACAGTATATAGATCCAGCTCATACACAACTTAGAAATATAAAAATATAACACTATTAGTCCAGCAGCATACATTTGATTTAACAAATGACTTGACATGATTCAGAATAATCTACTTTAAGTTCTCTTATACATCTTAGGTGCATTTTAAGAGTATATGTACTTTGAAATGTATACGATGGTATACTGTATCCAGGTACTGTAGGTGGAGGTGGGAACAGATTTTCATTGCCCTCCTTCTGTATCTCTGTGTAACTGAGTCTGGCCCCTGAGGTACTTCAGGGCTAAAGTAAGATTGTAATTGAGCCCTTGAGCCCATTATCTCTGTACTTTATTCCAAAGGAGCAGTTAACACACACACACACCACTGCAAGTACTACTGAAATGTAGTGGTACGATTAAAAAACCAAAACTATTTCTATTGAAATAGTTCTAAAATACATAAAGCAAGATGTAAAGACTTCTCATGCATGGTAAAAATTACATTGGGTGAATCTCATGTGAAATATCCAGGTCACACTGCAAAACAGTCTTGTTTTTCAGTACAAATATCTAAACATTCTTAAAATTAAGATACATTTATAAATCTTGTTTTTTTTTAAAATGTCTGAAAATATGTTTAGTTTTTGCTTAAAACAAGAAAATACAAAAAAATCTCTGCCAAATGGGCAAGAAATTAATTCAAAAGGAAACCAAAATTACTTTTCTGACGCCACTGGTATTTTTTTCCTTCATTGTTATTTTTTCTTGTTTTAAGCAAAAACTCACTCAATTATGGTATTTTTTTTTTTCAGAAAACATGACTTAGTATTATAAGCTATTTTGCATCTCATGTAAATGTATCGTAATCTAAGAACGTTTAGATGTTTATCCAGGAAAACAAGACAAAAATTATATTTTGCCGTGTATACTTCAAACTAAAATTTAAAGGGGAAAAAAAATCTATATTTTAGTCCTAAAAACAAACCAAAATAGGACTAATTCCTTATGCAAATAGAATTTTCTATTTTCCTTTTAATTTTAAAGTTAAAACACAACCTGGACATGTATCGCATTGAAGTTATATTTAGATACAGCTCCTTACAATCACACAAACCTTAATAACAGTAAATAAAATAACTATACAATTATTTGGCGTACAAATGAACTAAATCTATAGCAACACAACTTTACCTTAAAATTGTACATTGATACTTTTTAATACATTTTTTACTGTACTTATTAGAATGTCAGCATTCTGAAAACAAGTGTTGACTGGGAAGACTTGAAATTGTTGCATTTTTTAGTTTCTTTTGTGCACGTGTCAGTGTAAGACAACTTTAAATTAAGTCAGTTTACATTAGTTTAGTTATCCGGACATTAACAAATAGCGAGGAAGGAGGTATGCTGGTGCCGTCCTTAGACAGGAGATGAATGTGACGATATCCTACGAGGAAGAACAAAACGTGCTTCGTATTAACAGGAGGATACATTTTTGATGCATTTGGTGGAAAGGAGACGTACCTGGCTGAATACAGGTGAAAGGGAGAGTGAACTGTCCCACAAAGTCATTCTTTGATGTTTTATCATAGTCCTCCACGACAAACCGTACCAGCGCTAATTCAGGGACGTGAATTGTGAACTGAAGTGTATCGTACCATACTGGGTTAAAACCTGCAGGGACAAATGGGTAGCTGACAAAATTTCAAGCTTTATCAACAAATGAAAAAAGTGCAACTTTAAGGCAATTTTTCTAAATGATTGTACAAATATCATTTATCACCTCATATTAATTGAAATATTTGCACTTTTAAAAATGAATTAGTCACAGGACTAAGTCAACTGCTCAAAAGTGATTAAAATCGTGAAAACTTACAGTAATATACAATATATAAATATTCTACATTCACTGTGAACGTTAGCGCATGTCCAAAACCAATCGTTCGAAAACAAGATTTGTTTAGTCTTTCGAACGCAACTAGAACTCTGGTTTAACTGCATCTAGGCTTTTTCAGTCTAGACACAACTTCGCCCTATACGTTTTAACTGACCGTTGTTGTCAATGTATCTGGTTTCCTGCTTGGCCTGGTCCAGTGGTACACCGTGAATTTCCACCCGAACGAGGGGATCAATGATTGAGCCCTCCTTGATGTTTACCTTGGGAAGCTGTTGGCCACTGATTACCTGAAAAGATCACACAGTATATGCAGGTTTAGCAATAACGCAATAAAAAAGTAATAACGCCAGGACATACACAGAAATTCAGGTTTGTACCTGAATAGACAGGCTAAGCGGCTTGTAACCGTCATTTTGGGGGTTTTCTGGGTCAAACCTCTCATCAATGTTGCGCATGAATGCTGGTTTCAGTATGTAGCCACAATATCCATTCTGACTGAATAAGCCGTCGTTCTGATCCATCTCAACCCCTGCGGTCTGAAAGTTCAGAGCAACTGGGAAGGGAAGGGAACACTTAGCAATGAAAAAAATTTACCACCATTTGTATTTAGTACTAAGAGATCCTGCCTAAAACATTGTCTATTGGAACATTTGCTATTTTCATGGATAAAGAATGGTAATTTAGGTGGTTACACTAGTGATATCTTGGCTAGTTAACTAGCAATGCTCATCAACTTTGAATAGTCTTGGTTGGTTTAAAGGGGTCATGAACTAAGAAATCAAAATTTCCTTGATCTTTTGACATATGAGAGGTCATTGTACTATAAAAACACCCTCTAAGTTTCAGAACTCAAAACTTTCTCGTTAGTCTAAAAACAGCTTATAATGAAGCCAGTCTGCCTAAACGACGGTTGTGGAATGTGCCACTTTTTGTCATAATAGTGTTGCTAAACACCGCCTCCGCACCCCACACATCACTGCCTGTTTAGCCCCGCCCACCGATTTGCATGTTAAGTAAATAACGAGAGAGACAAAATGCAGGTCTACGCCAGTGTTGCCAAGTCTGCGGTTTTTCCGCAGAATTGTGCTACTTTAACACTATTGCTGCAGGTTGTTTTTGATGTCGGGGGTTGAAGCGACCCCATAACGTGATATTTAGCCCCTGCAATGCAAATTTTACCAGGGGAACCTCGCCAAAAAACGTGTATTTTAAGCCCCGGAACGTGGACCAAATTTTTACCGGGGGACCTCCTCCATAAGCTATTGGGCTAGTTTGGAGTGGCAATTGGGCAGGTTTTGTTGTGAAAACCTGGCAACCCTGGTCTATGCAGAAAACAGTAAAGATGGCTCTGAAGACAACAAGACGCTGTGCAGTGACAAGTTGTGGAAAAACAGTCGTTGCATTTTTGAAACTGTCGCGAAACGTGCAGTAAGGTACGTAATAATGGTGTTGCAGAAATATATTTAGAGGCACGTATTTCCAATGAGCCTGGGTTGGAAACCAAAATCCCCTTGATATTTTGACATATAAGAGGACGTAGTACTATAGAGTATAAAAAAACATCCTGTAATTTTTAGAACTCAAAACTTTCTTGATAGTCTAAAAATAGCTTATATTTAAGAAGCCAGTCTGCCAAAATGACAGATTGTGAAATGTGCCACTCTGTGACGTAATAGTGTGGTTAAACCCTGCCTCCACATAAGAAGATCAACGTCTGCTTCTACATCGCTGCCTTTTTAGCCCCGCCTATCGATTTGCGTATGTAGTGTAAATAACGAGAGGCGAATGCAGGTCTGCGCAGAAACCAAATGATAAAGATCGCTCCGAATACAGCAAGAGGCATTGCTAAATTGTGGAAAAGCAGTCTTTGCATTGCCTTTCTTCTGATCCCAACAGATAGGAAAGAGTCGATGAACTTTATTTTTAATGAAGTTCCAGACTGCGTCAGTAAGAACTTGGTTCTGCGTTTACTTCATTTTACTGCAGATTTGTTTACAAACAAGGCACAATTCGACGCAGGATTTTCAGAAATATTGAAAATAAAAAAACAATGCTGTGCTGAATATATTGAATCCGGCAGTAATGTCGCACCACACGAGTGTGAGAAACTGTTTTCATTACGTGATCACTATTGCTTTGTCTGTTATTAACCTAAATCCACTGCAGTGTCCATCTGTGAAGGATGTACGCTGTCAAACATACACAAGTGTTAGCCAATCATAGCAGTGGGCGTTTACTTCCGAGTCTACAATCCACTGTAAGATTTACAGAACCTCAGACACTTTGATCTTCTGAGATAGACAGTACACACATAGTGAATATACAGACATCTGTTTCCACATCTCACTGAGAGAAAATGTGAGAAAACTTCTCTCTCACCTATGCATTAGTTCCTTCTCATCCCCTTCCTTTCCCTCACCCAACCATTCCTTAATTCAGCTCACTCAGAATGGTCAATAGTAGAATATAATGTTCTACATGAATGCAGGTGATATTTACAGTCATGTTTGGTATCATTTGAATGGTCTCTGTGCGTCTGGTACAGTGGTCTCATTCTTACAAGAAGTAAACTAAAAGGTAATACAGATCCTAAGAGTTTAGAAATATTTTGCTCACTGAGGGTGTCATTTCCCAGTGCTTTTCATGCAAATTACCTTCTGTCCCAAAAGGTGTTAACTTGGTCAATACAAATTCCAATTGTTAGTTCCTGTCTCCATTTTGGAGGATGTTTTTCTTGGGCTGAGTACTTAAGGAAATCTTGCAACAAGATTCTGCAGCCAGAATGAGCCCGTGGACACACTTCATACTATGTATTTTCCTAAAGTCAGGTATGCACCTTACTCTTAGATTCATCTTTGAGAATTGTATGTCTTGTATTGATTTGATATCTTTGAATTGGCTATGTAATTGGCATAATACATATTTACCTGACTGATAATAAATTGTTACATTTGATTTTATTCTAACTTACTCTGAAATTATTTTCTTAAGTAGATTAAGTGAAGGCATATGTTACTGCAAATCTGCATCCAGGGTTAGTACATACTAAATTTCAGGTTAGATGGAGCATGGGGCACATCAGGTGAGATTCTAGATTTTTGACTAACTGCTTGACTTTAGTTAAGTTGTTATGCAGTTGCATTAACTATGGGGGGCTAGACAAAATACTATTGGGAGTACTAGCATGGTTTGGGCATATTTCATCGTACTAGCCATAACCTCTGGTTATTGTCTCAGCTTTATTCAAGTTGTTATGTGGTTAGAATAACTATAGGGGGCTAGATAAAAACACTATTGAAGTATTAGCATATTTCATAGTGCTAGCCATAACCTCTGATTTTGTTTGAGCTTTAAGTTGTTACATAGGTGACTGTAGGGTGCTAAACAGAACTAATATTTAAAGAATGACAAGCATGAGGCGGTCTATTAAATAGTTAGTCATAACCTCTGAATAATGATCAGACTGGAGAGTTTGTGATTGTGGGGTACACGTACATCGGCTGGCGTGATACACCCTGAGCGACATAGATTCCTAATGAACGAGTAAATATAAAGTAAAGCGTTAACTAGAATAATCAAATGTCAGAAGAATACTGATTAGAAACAGACAAACAACCAATCTGCATTTCAACCTAAATTCGAGGTCATAATAAAATGGAGTCAGATTAGATAATAAAATGGAGTCAGATTACAATTTATCCTAAATTTAATAACTTTGTGCGCTGAAAAGACAGAACACACAGGAAACCTTCATCCACCATTGGATACCTCCGTTGGGCAAATTCGTGGACCTTACACCACCACGCCTATTCAAACGGAGCGTACAGATGAGGGGGGTCAAAACAGGACAGAAAATAGCCTATTACTTTATTACTATTAATTATGTTTTTTATGTAAAAATCTTGATAACATTATAAGTGGACAGTACAGAGAACAGTACAAAATAATAAAAAAGGTAGTTCATGACCCCTTTAAGATGGTTTAGCTGGTCTCCCAGCCTGGGGTGCGTTTCCCATACAACCACGTAACTCGCTGATTAACCGATGCATTGTTGTGGAAACAAACTAGCTAGTCATGACTGTTTCCCGAACATGGTCGCATCTCCATCGTTTGAACCACATTAGTTCAACAACATAGGGCCATTGTTAATTACATCAAACGCATGTGGTGGAGGAATAACTTCTGCTATTTAACTGAATGGAGAGCTCTAAGATGCTGCTGTATTGAACATGGCCTTTGATGACTTATTTTATATTTTTTGTTCTCTGTCATTTTGCTTTATTTGATGTTTGATTCATCGCGGGTTCCCTCTTATGTCATACTCCAGGGTTCCCTTAGGCATTTATGCACATGTGCACTCTTCAAAAATGGCGCTTATTGAGGACGCATTAAAATACATAGATTAAAATGTATTTATATTTAGATGGTACTGCATGTTAGCTTGTTTATTGTGCCTAAGAGCATATTTATTTAAGCCCATATGTCTTACTAACAAGGAACTATGCTTCTAACCACAGGTTGAGAGCTGTAGTTCAACTACGCAAGTCTGCGACGCTGTTTGCGAATGTTCGTTTGAACTGTGGTTTCGGGAAACACCGAATCGTTGAACCATGTTGGTAATGATGGAACTTGCGACCATAGTTGGCTAACAATACTTTTGGGAAACGCACCGCTGGTCGGGTTGGTAGTGTTCAGCTGATTTAGCCAGTTAGCTGGTCTCCTAGTATGACCAGTTGATAAGTGCCTAAAATTTCTCTAAAACCAACAAACTAAATTAGCCTAACCAGCACATCACTTAAAGCTAGGCTGGTTAAAGCATTTTTTTAACAGGCTAGTCAGACTATCTGACCAGCTGACATTTCTAAGTTGTCCCAAGAACTAGCTATTAATCACATCTGTCTTAATCACAACTACCTTATAGATAGTTATGCGATGTTTATCAACAGAATATTTTAAAATTCCACGAAAGCCTCATTAATCTTAGCTACGCTACGAATCATTCTAAGCAAGAATCTCATGATTTATGGAATATTCACATTTCAACCATTATTTTTAATCTGGTACACTCACCAATTTGGCACCCTGCGTTCCACATGTCCTGTGGGTTGAAGTTGGATGAGTCAGTTCTCAAACCACTGGGGTAAACCCGGCTCAGTTGACGAGCATTATGGAGAACAAACTCCGCTCCTGTAGCACAGAGACATACAGAGTAAGACAATACAATTCTCTAAAAAAATTATTAATGAGCTGTTATGAGCAGTCAGACTCATGTTTCCTTTACCTGCCTCCCTTATGTGTTTCCGGGCCTTAGACTCCGTGAAGGAGGAGATCTCGTAAAACTTGGAGTGAATTTGTGAATGTTTAAAGCCGGTAAAGTGGACACTCTTGCAGTAAACCACACAGTCCGACAGCTCTTTAGAGAGATGCTGCTTGGATTTCTAGACAGTACAAAAACAGTCTTTAACAGGTTAGAAAAACAATTTGATATACACCTAGTTTTCATTTTCACCTTCTTCCTAAGGTGGTTTGCTAGGGGTTGTTGGCACTTGTCAAGCTGGTCAGGTCTTTGAGGCAAACTGGCCAACCAGCTAACCCAGCTAAACACCAGCTTAAGCCATCTAAGATCTGAGAACCACTTTTTTAGCTGAGTTGTTGACTGATTTTACCAGGTTTTTAACTAGCTCAACAGCAACGAAAACTTAAAGAAATGGCTGTGATATTTGAGAAGGGTGCTAGCTAGATTGTATGATGTGGTTTTACTGCAAGCATTCAGTTCTGCTACCTAAACCATTGAACCCAGGACTACTTAAACAATGTCATGACAGACGACCCTTTGGATAATGAGGCCAGGTATCCACCTGGCTTCATCTTACACTACCATCTGTTGGGTTCATTCTTGCCAACCCACTGTGCCAACTTAACATGATTATTCAGCTTGCTTCGAGTGGTGTAGCCTAGATCTGGGCTGGCAACCAAAGCCAGCAAGGGTTAATCCTTCAACATTGTACCCCTGAGCAAGAGGGACTATCCCTGTAGTAATGGTACTGTATGTCACTTAGGATAAATTTGTTAACTAAATGACTATTTAGCCTAGTAATTGGCCTAAACCAGTTATCCAGCAAGAGAGCAATGCTTGTGTGCAAATTAAAAGCTACAAATGTCATGCCAACTTTTTTCCAGTTGATGAGTCAACAAAATGACTGTATCTCGGATTGGAGAAACCAAGAGAGGTGATCCCTGACTGCAGCTAACCTGAGTTAAGAGAATCAAGTGTCACATGGTAACAACAGTGCCAGCAAATGCACATGGTCACCTATCAGATAGCAGAAGACCACAGAAGATATGCAGTTTCTGTCTTATCCATCTCTCACTTTCTCTCTTGCTTTTTCTTGTTTTCTTCCCAAGATTGCTCCAGTGTCAACCCATCCAACTTGCATTAGTGCTTTATGCAATCTACCCGCTTTCAGGGCCACGGAGCATCTCTTGTCTCTCAGAATATTTTGCTGCCTTCAACATGAGACAAGCTGGTCTACATTAGTTAAACTGCCTACGGTCCAGATTTTTTTCACTTGAAGTTGGCACAAAGTAACCCTCCTGATCAGAAGTGGAAGTTTCCAGGGATGATCAAACCGAAGTGTTCAACATGTTATGTAATTAGATTTGAATCTTGAGGTTAAAGTCGTGGCAGACTGTAACTCTTACTCGAGGATGCAGTACCGTAGAGCTCTGATGAAGACCTGATAAGACTCCCAGTGAGACAAGACCGCCATTCCATATTTTACAATATGTTGGCTCATGAAGTAGCCAAAGAAATTGTATCCTAGATATGCCCCATTATCTTTAACATTATTTCGTTGTTAAAGGGGTCATATGACGTTGCTAAAAAAAGAACATTATTTTTTGTGTTTGGTGTAATGAAATGTTTATGCGGTTTAAGGTTCAAAAAACACATTTTCCACATACTGTACATTATTGTTTCTCCTCTATGCCCCACCTTTCTGAAACGCGTCGATTTTTACAAAGCTCATCGTTCTGAAAAGCGAGGTGTGCTCTGATTGGCCAGCTATCTAGTGCGTTGTGATTGGCTGAATACCTCAAGCGTGTGACGGAAATGTTCTTCTAAATTCTAAACTTCTAAATTATCTAAGCTAACAGAGTGTGTTAAAAATGTAAAAGATTGGATGACCAATAATTTTCTCCTATTAAATTCGGATAAGACAGAGATATTACTTATCTACTCTACACTGCTCAAAACTCGCGTTTGAATCATCAGTGGCAAATCCTTTAAATATGAAAACGTACTTACAGGCTGTGAGTCAGCATTATTTGTCAGCATCATAGACTGTGATCAGCATGCGCGCCGAAGGGTAAACAGGGGAACTGAATTCACCGGAACACCGGCATTGTAGGCTACTCACCCGGGAAACAGTCCTCATCCTCCATAAAATGTGTTGCACACATCTGAATATTTGTTTTGAACTGTTCTGGAACAGTGTTGTAAATACAACTTAACCACTGATTTCTAGTTGTGTCCTCTTTTGGAAGGCCAAACAAAGTAGTTTCGTTTTCACAACGATACACACAGCGTCTCCACGATATGGCGGCATCAATACTACAACGAGAATCAAAGTTACGCCTTCTTGCTTTGCGTATACATTTGGGCAGTGTTATGCAAATCTTCCCACATCGTGACGTAGACATGTGGGGGCGTGTTTGAACGAGGCGTTTTAGGAGGGCGTGGACCAGACTTAACTTTTATAAAGAATATCTCATTGGGTTTGAGACTTTAGTCTTTGCAACTTTAGGGATCTTATCTATTCACGAACAGCTTGTAACACTCCGAAGAGAAAGGAAAAACTTGAAATTGCATCATATGACCCCTTTAACTACTAATTAGCCATTTAGCTGCCACTTTTACCAAGAGTGATTTAGAGTGTACTAGTTACAGGAACAGTCCCTCTCGAGTAACCTCTGGGTATTGGTCTTATTGAAGGGTACAACAGAGGTAGTTTTTAAATCTACCTTTGCTGGGGTTCAGACACTTTTCTGACATGGCTACACCACTTCATGGTTTAAGTGCAAGATTGTGGAATTCATCTTTATCATTTGATAAATGTATCCTTTGATAAATGACTCCTGTCTTCATTAGAAAATCTACACAAACATCTCTCCTGAAATGTATCACTGTACCTTGACTCTATGCCGTATGCTGTCATTGCGATGATGGTCATCGTCAATTTCAGCAATCTCCTCTTCGTCGCTCACTTCTCCCATCAAAGGGTCATCCACCACCCCATTCATGCCATCCTCTAATCCACCTATCTTCTTTCCTTTCAACAGAATCTTCCCTTTCAGATCCTACACACAAATATGGAGAAGATACAATTTCACCAGGAAGCATCTAGTGTTGTCAAAAGTACCAACCACGATACCATTCGGTAGATTTCCCCCTAACATCTAAGCGCTGTTGAGCAGATTCTTAAACACGGCTGATTGGCCATTGTGTTTACGCGCTCAACAGATATGACCGTGATTGGCTATAATGATCATCTCTTCACCAAACTCTTACACCGTGTCCTAACTACATGCTCCGCGACAGGCGATAAAAGGTATCTTTTCCATGTTAATCTGAGTTTTTGCCCTAACTAGCTGCGACGGCGACATGCGAAATTTCTATTTTAGAATTGATTTCTATTTCTGGCTGGAACAACAACATACAAACTATATGACAGTGATAATCTCAGGTACTAATTATGTGCTATGTAATGTCATATTGCGTGGCATTTATAGCCATACAGAAAACAACAACAGATTTACGTCCGATCTTGAATATAAATAAAAGCAAAGATGTATGTTAAAACTGTGAACTCACTGCGAACCAACAAGCGTATTCCATAAAGATAGTATCAGTCACAAAGTATGTACATCTAATAATGTTAAAAAGGTTTAATATTTATGAATTGGATTATAAACATCCATTTCGTTGTGAGTGCAGAGCGCTTCCAGAGAGAACCCACCCGCGCTCTCTTCTGATTGGCTGTGATATTTGATTGATTCGGTTGAGTCATGTCGCATCTAGTGTGGACACCCAAATTGCTTGTCGCTGAAATCTTGTCACGTCACGTGTAGTTAGGACACGGTGTTACACAGAAGCACACGGGGGAGCGTTTGAAAATCACAGTCATATCTGTTGAGCGTGTGAACACATTGACCAATCAGTGCTGTTTTAAGAATCTGCTCAATAGTGCTGAAATGTTAGCAGGAAATGGACGTTTTTAAAATTTCAGTAACGAATGGTATTGCGGTCGGTACTTTTGACAACACTACAAGCATCAGAAATCTCATACAGTAACAGACTTTAATGGTGGACACATGGACACACAAATTAGGTGTGCCTTTAATAGTGGCTGGTCAAATAGGAATGCAATAAATTTGCACCTAAACCAGTAGGATTTCCTTAGTCAATTAGCTTCACTAGGAAGACCATGGTGTTCAGTTAAGTTTTGCTAGTGACTAACAGCTATGATGGTCTTGTGAGTAATATAGCACTTCTGCTTAGACCCTACTGAAATGATGATGGTGGTGTGCATGCCTCTTAACTAGCAAGAATTCACCGGTTAGCAAGTTTTACCAGAAACACCTTGCCTAAGCTAGCCTTGACAAGCAAGGTAATGCATGCTAGTCTGAGCTGGTCTTTCTTAGCAGGGTCGTTTGCTTTAATAATTCAGCATGGCTATGTCGCATGGACATAGATCATATGGCTGCTGCCCCAGGTGAATGGCCAGGGAAAGTGAACGTATCCTGGAGAGGTCACCACACTCTGAACTCTGATACAAACGTCTGCTCGTGGGTGGAAACTTCGAGATCTTTGACTCTTCAAGATGAATGACCAGTGCTAGACATTTACTGCTCATTAAGCAGCAATTAAGTGGACTTGTTAAGTGGAAGTACTTGTTTAAGTGACTGCATGCATTCGTGCTCTCCGGCTCACCTCAGGAGATGGGAGGCCGATGAGAATCTTTCCATCTAAAGGGCTTTTCAGCAGCTTGTCTCCCAGGATCTGGGTGAGGTGTTGGGCCATGACTTTCTGCTGCTCTACACTGCAGTGGTTCTCAATGGACAGGATGACAGGGTACTGCGATGCCTGTGGAGGGGAGAGTGTGTGTGCGTGTGTGTGTGTGTGTGTGTGTGAGTGAATAAGTGATGGAGTGAAATGGAACACTCAACACAGAACTGCGGCTAACACACTGCCAAGCAGGGGTCGACTGCCCTAGATCACATTACACAGAAACAAAAGGGCATGGTGCCCTGGCTCAGAGTGAACCTGGCCCCAGTCTGTCACACACACAAATGCAAGCTAGTAAAGTACTCTAAACCAGTTTAGAAGGCTCAAATATGAAGAACGAAACCAAGAGGGTTAAAGTATTAAGAATTATGGACATGCATGGGTATATGGTATTTCTATCGGATATCACCCCCTTACCATAAAAGTACTGTGGCACCATGGTATAGCAATAGAATCTGATGACAATACTATGGTATTTTGAAATATACCATGCATGTACCACGGTATTTACATGATGCTTTCAAAAATATCATAGTAAAAGTTCAAAAAAACAATGGTAATTTTTTTCAAGTATCGTTTTTTTTTGTTTTGTTTTTACATTTACCAAGGTAATACTATGTTTTTTGTTTGCAATGTTAATACCTTGGTATTCTTTGATGTACCTATGGTATTGTCGTCTGTTGCCATCACCATATCGTGGTACAGTATTGATTAAAAGAAAGTTATCATGGTAATAACATGTTTAAAAATGGTACCATGCTAATAAATTATGTTGAACACTATCATAATGCTAATACCATAGTATTCCTTGACTTACCATAGTATTTGAATATGGTAATCAATCATTACAATGGCATATCTAGTACTGTAGTATTACCATCTGATAACACCACTATGCCATGGCACAACTACAGAACATTTTTGTTATGAATGTGCAGTTGTAAAAGTGTGGATGAAAACAAAGCCATAGTTTGAGGCATACTTTAAATGCATAGTTGCCCAGCACAGTGACAACATCCTTGAAGAAGATCTTTGAGGTGAACGTGTGTCCATGGTAGACAATTGGTTCTCCATTTGGTCCATCCCAGCAGTCCACTTCTACACATCGACAGCCACGTTTCAATGCTCTAAAACACACACATACAAGTACATATTTATGAATATAAAGAAGAATTGAAGTTAGGAATTAAAGGCAATGCCTACTTAAAATAAGTTTTTGAAAACATGTGTACCGTATATAGCCTTCCACACTGCTGTGTCCTCTGATTTGGTCTTCCAAAAGGTATGTGTTATGAGAAGACGATATGAAGTAATGACAAAGAGGCTGAGTCATGTCCTGGTAGAGTTCCACCATAGAAGGGTTGAAGATAGAGCCTTCTGGTGAGGTCAGGTACATCAGAAAACCATCAAACGTCATCGCTTGTAGCATTCTTGCTATAGGAACATAGGGTAAACAAATGAATAGGCCTACATTTAAAGGTAAGCCAAGATGTCAAGAACACAAAATGCAGCATTAGGATACCTGGAACTAGAAGTTATTGAGTTTGAAAGTTAAAAATTTGTTTGGGACAAGAACCCAAACCACCGAGGATGATCTAAACAGATCAATGGCAAGTGGAAAGTAAAATACAAATAACCTAAGCTTTGAAGAAGCTTGAGTAAGAAAAGTACAACCCTGTTAGTTACCGGTGTCTGAAGGTTCATAGCGTTCAATGAGTTTTAGTGCATACTGCTGAACTCCATCCTCGTGTAGCTGCTCCTCCCGTAAGAAATCTTTCAGATCTTGGAGTGTTAACTTCTGCCCATCGCCCAAATATTCCTGAAATACTCGCAGGACGTCCTCGCGCTGAGTCAACATCTTATAGAACAGCACGAACTCATCATCTTCAAGAGTTCCTGATTGAGACTTGTCTGCCATCTGCAGAACAATAGAAGTTCCAAAATGTAAAAATACAAACAACTACCTGGAAATGGATCACCAAATAATAACCTAAGTGTCTAGTGTCAAAACTGTCATTAAACTGAAGCTACATCAAGTGGTATAACAATAGAAAAACTGACAATTGGCCATAAATATGCAGTTACCGTAAAGAGACGAAGAGCGTGATGCTCGTTCATGTCCACATTCATCATCTTCAACAGATCTCGGACCTCCTTAAAGTTCATCCGTCCATCTCTGTTTTTGTCTGCCTTTTTAAACCAATCACAGATCCATCTGGAAACAGCATTTAAGGGAAAACTAAAGTGCTTGGTATGATTTACCAAAGTAGAGTTCCTTTCAACTGATTTTAGGGTTATGTTTAAGAGCTGGAAGTTAAGGGCTCAAACTAGGGGCTTGGACTTCAATCCAAGCATAGATAGTGATAGGGGTTAAAACTTTGAGAAACAAGAATGTTGTCCCAGGAATGTGTCCAACTTGCATAAATCATGTTGCACAACATGGAGTGAAAGCGGGTAAATGGATCAGATGTGCTGCAGTCCCAGTGTATTTAAGTGTCCTTTAATGCCTTTTAGCCTGCCTGAAACCTTGTGTGTGTAAGATGGACAGAGAGTGGAATGATAGAAAGGAAGATAAAGAGTGACAGTAAAGGATACTGATCTAGTTTCTCTCTCTGCCCCATGTTCTCCAGGTTATCGATGAGTTTGCGTATCCCTTTAATCCATGATTGCGCTTCCCCTGCTGATTCGGCCACTAGGTCCAAGTTGCCTCGTCGACCACGGAACACAAGGGTGAAGCAGCGGTCAGGCGGGAACTCGTCAGCAATGCTGAGCAGAACCTCAGATTGGTGCCCTTCCCGCACAGCTTCCACATCACCCACAGAAACTATGGACACACATAGCCAAACATTTACCTAAGCATCCCCTGAACCCCAAAACAAGGGGTTCTCAACTCTAGCCCTCAAGGTCCACGTTCCTGCAGAGTTTAGCTCCAACCTTGATAAAACTCACCTGCCTATAACTTTCTAGTGATCCTGAAGACCTTGATTAGCATGTTCTGGTGTGTTTGATTAGGGTTGAAGCAAAACTCTGCAGGAAAGTGGACCTCGAGGGTAATAGTTGAGAACCCCTGCCTTAAGAGTTGGAGACAAGACCAGACCAATATTTGGCCTATCAAGACCCAGAACCCATACAAATGCAACATTTATGTGGTCTCGAGAGATCTCAACACCAAAATAAAACAAGATTACGACTCAAATTTTGACCCTCACCCAAACTCTACATCCAGTCTAGAGCAAGGGTGTCCAATTCTGCTTCTGATGGGCCAATTTTCTGCAGAGTCCAACCATAATTAAACACACCTAAAATAGCTAATCAAGGTCTTTGCAATTACTACAAACTTCCAGGCAGGTGTGTTGGAGCAAATTAGAGCTAAACTCTGGATGGGATTATGTTGGCCCCCCAGGAACAGAACCTGGTCTAGAGCAGGGTTGGTCATCTTTATTCCTGGAGGGCCACTGTCCTGCAGAGTTTAACTCCAATCCTAAACAAACACACCTGAACAAGCTAATAAATGCTTTCAAGATTACTAGAAAACTACAGGCAGGTGTGTTTGATAAGGGTTGGAACTAAACTCTGCAGGACACCGGCCCTCCAAGACCGAAGTTGTCCAGCCCTGATCTAGAGGTTCTGAAAATACTTTATATGAAGATGGCTGCTATATTTATGCCTAGGGTAATAGTGCAGTTGTTCTAGGCTGGTTATAGGTTCAATCACAGGAAGAGTTGATCCATGGACTATCACTAATGTGATCTTAAGTAAGATACTTAAACTCAGGTTTCTCTTATAACAGCAGAGTCTAATCTTGCTCCTGGAGGGCCACCTTCCAGCAGAGTTCTGCTCCAGCCCCAATTAAACACACCTGAACCAGCTAATGAAGGTCTTCAGGATCACTACAAACTTTAGGAGGGTGTGTTACAATTCTCCTCTCCAAGCCCTCCAGGAGAAGGACTGGACACCCCTAGCATATGGGATTGTTCTTGTAAAACAGCATGTTGCTTTGGATAAATGACTAATAATTACAGATTGTGGATCTTGTCAGCGCTACTTACAGGTGGAGTGTGCATTTGCTGCTTTCTTGCTCTTGTACCAGATAGTCATGCAGTCTTCTTGTAGACGGAAATAACGATGCTTTTTCCATGTGCGAGACTTGATTTTTCTCATCACTGTGCCAACAAACATAGACTTCAGGTTGTCATCAGCCTGGATACCTGAGGAGCAAGACAGTACAGGAGACGAAGAGGGCGAGGAGGGGTCAGACAACAGGTAATGCACCTGACCCAGATTCCTAGCATATCATTGTAAACACAACAAGCTAGAAACACCCCCTGCCTCTCATGATCAGATAATGAATGCTCCTTTTGTATAGATATGAGGTTTTGGCATACATTTTATGAATCCTTGTAAGCTTGTGTTGCTAGCGCTCTAACACTACCAGATGAGGTAATGGAATTATTATTTAGATATTATTTAATATTTAGCATTTTAAATGCAAAATTAGATATAATTTAGCCCTTTTATCAAGCTTTCCCAGTAAGAATCTCCCAACAGTTCTAACAATGAATGGTTTTACAATGTTTGTGGAGACATTTTAAGGCAAAATCTACCAGAACTAATGGAATAACCTTCGTATCACCTTAAAAGTTTATATCGACAGTCTACAATGGTCTATCTAAGCCACCTGCTTACTTGCAGTGTTGCTACATGTACAACACTGAGTCAGTTACTACGGAACAAATAAATACATTGAAAACAGTCAGGGATTTTTTCCCCCCGTAGTTTAAACTTACATAGGCTCCTTTCAGTAGAAGCCATATGTTGTTCTGTCATTTTTTAGGCGTCTCCTGTTTTAGAATAAAGAGAGAGAGAAAAAATGAATGAGTCACACTGAATGAAGTGGAGTAAAGAATATTAAAAGACATCATACATTTCATAGCAAATGGTTATACATTTATACAATAACATTTACGCCTGTAAATGTTAAAAACATGCATTAAAAAGGTATACCTGGGGTATCCCCTAATATAAAAAGCTAGATTTTACATGTAACAGCATAATTTTCATTAATAAAAGTAACAAGCCATCAGCAATAATTTCAAAAGAAAAACCACACAAACATTGGAAAAAATTTTAAATATGCAGATACTTGTGTATATTTTTAAGAAACTGAACTGCATTAGTAATAATATTAAAAAAATTTGTTAAGTCTGATATGTTCCTCCATTCATGCAAAACCATGATAACAAACAAATTTTAAACAAATACATATGCACAACCTCAAACAAAACCTTTCCCTCGGTATAAATGGCTGTTGTTTGTGAAAAGACCCTGGACGTCTGGCTTTAATACAGGGATCAGCACTAGAGCTGTTGCCTCAAACTCTAATGTTTGTACGGATCTGTTCAGTGCGAAAGCATCTCACACTTGCCCTCGAATACTGCACTGCCATGCAAAATCAGACAAAAAAGTCACACATTATTAACTGAATTTATAGGAGTATCGACACAATAAAACTAGGAAAACTCATCAAAAACAAAACAAAATGACCTCAAGCTTGCCATGTGAGCAGAGATGTGTTGTAATACCCAGCCAAATTTGCCATGAAGATTCAGGTTTCACACAAACCAGTCGCCTTAAACATGGCGGACAAAATGTCCAACACTGCTAACGAGTTATTAACAAAAACATGCTGAACTCAAGCGTATGTCCCAGATTCTTTCAATTAATTTATTGTTAGTTGCTGTTACAACTAATGACTAAAACTCTTGTAACATTGATATAACATATGAATGAGCTACATCAAGTTACAAATGATAACAACAACAGTGTCAACAATAGCCGTGTGCTCACTATATTATATTATATTATAAAGAAATTAAAGATTAGAACTGCAAAATAATTTGTTACTTTTAAATGTATTTTATGTTTTCATTGAAATATTTTCTATTAAAAATACAAATAATAAATAATATAAATAACTACACTATAAAAGTTACATAAATATGTATAACTATTAAAAATAACAATTTAACTATAAGCAGAAAGACAAAACAAGCACCAGTTACAAACAGGTATCCTATATCTGTAGATAAACTTTCACAGCCAGGGACTTAAATATAATAATATTCACAATCTTAGGGTTGAAAGAGGTCTTACCCTCTGTGGGCTCATAGTTGGATCTGTATTTGAGCTTTGAAGAGGAGCATAACTCAGGAGAAGCCGGTGTAATGTGGCCCCCGCTGCAACAGAGCCGGACTGACTGTCCACATCTCGCCACAGCTGATTGTACCACAACACACCTCCCTCTGACGCACAACCACACACCCACAGATCCACAGAAAACACGCGACTCGATGCCCCCAAGGGCCCCTTGTCCTCAAAATACACTTTCTGTCTCTCTGTCTTTGGGAGTCAAAACCTTCCTTCAGGCTGCTTTGTCTTGCATCTCTCTGTCCACTGTAAACCTAAAACGAGGGTATGTCAGTTCTGAGGTGGAAACTCAATCCGGCGCATTGCGTAATTGGAGTGTTGCATTCCTGCGGTGTGACAACTAAAGCTTTAATCGTGACCGAATAAACGTGCAAATGTGAAATGTAACACTTTTCTAAATAATCCTGACCCTGATAGCACACGTACATCAGAGATGTCTATTTGACGTCTGCAAGACGTATTTTTTAGTGTTTTCTCATCTGCAATACATCTATTGGACGTTTCCTATCAGATGTCAAATAGACGTTCATTAGATGTTAAGATGTTTATGATTTAAAATGTATGTAAAACTGACATCTTACAGACGTCTGTCAGATGTTTGTACACAGCAGATGCTTTCCAGATAAAGTGATCTTTAACAGACATCTTGCAGACGTACCTGTGCTATCTGGGGAATGAATTCACAGAAATACCATTCCTAGTTACTGATTGGCTGCAATTATCGAAGCTATTTGCATATTACATTATGCCAAACAGAGCGTTTTTGTATTTTTCTAAAGTCGCCTCCCTGATAGCACACATACATCATGGAGACGAAAATGCAGATGTCAAATAGACATCTGCAAGATGTACCCAGATAGCACACGTACATCTGCAAGAGGTCTGTTAATGATCGTTTCATCTGGGGAGCATCTGCTGTGTACAAACATCTGATAGACATCTATAAGATGTCAGTTTTACATACATTCTAAATCATAAACATCTTAAAGACATCTTTTAAATGTCTATTTGACATCTGATAGGAAAGGTTCTATAGACGTATTGCAGCGTGAATACTTACCTGCTCAAGTTAAAAGTAAATACTTCTAAGTATGAGGTGTTCTGGGTGAATATGGACCTGAATCAAAACAGCGACAATGCTAGGCTCTTGCTATATGGCTAATAAGGCATTATAAATTGTTTTTAGCATGTTGCTATTTGGTTGCTAAGTGGTCCTGGTTGGATGCTAGTATGTTGCTTACTGGCCCAAGTGCTACAAGGTAAGTACTTGCCTCCTCAAGATAAGAGTACAAATCCCTAAGTATGAGCAACAGAAATGGTGTGCTAGCATTAGCTAACACCACCAAAAATTTATTCAAACGAATATTTGGCCATGTCAGTTAACACTATTAGCATATTACATTGCAATCTTAAGGTCATTGCGCAATGAGTACAAAATTTGCGATCAAAATTTTCGCATGTTAAAAAATAAATACCTCACGTTGTGTCGATCACGTTTACACACTGCCTCTGAAACTTTCGTCCATCATAAAAAAATGTGGCTAGGGTTCAATTTTCTGAAATATTCGCATCCGTAGCCAGCATTTTGAAAGCTGTTTTGACAATTCAGAGCCACCGAAACATTCTGTGCGTGACGAATTTTGACTAGCACGAAAAACGCATACGAACATTTTGGACTCAGTGTGCAAGGACCTTTACAGTATAAACAGCACTCCCTCTAAAAATGATTAAGGGGCATAACTTCACTACATACATATAATCAAAACGACTGAATGTTCTTCACGTCTTCATGGCATGTTGACAGCCATATATCGGACACTGCCGCCCGCTTCCAGTCTGCCTCTGAAACATGCGTCAGGGAGTTTAATGCATGTTTGTGGAGCACAACTCAAGAGTCTATTGTCTATGCTTGGCCTCCCTCACTGGGGCCCTTTAGTGGAGACCCCAGATGATCGGATCAGGTTACTTAAGCAAGCATTCAACATTTAGCAACCCTGTTAAACTGCGTTCAGGTGGAAACGGAATAAGAGGATGTAAGCTTTTTTAGGTTAATTTTGAACATCTTGTATTCGAAAAATCAACCCGTCTGAAGCACATTTGTGTCTATCAAGGGGTCTCGCCGGTCAGTTTCAATTGTACCTGGCTTCATCTCCCATTAGGAATTCTTCTTTTCTGTCCCTTCCTCGTGTTTCTCTTCATGAATAAAACACAGCCGAGCTCGATGTCTGAGCTCAGTTTACACACACAGCGCTGGCGTCTTTAAAAGGGGGTCCCTGCTTACCCGCTATATCATCGAGCCAGCGCCTGGATACGCACACACGCGGCCGAACACTTTCCATTGCAGACATCACCTCAATGAAACTCTCACCTTGTGTTTAACGACGTATCGGATCATTCATTACACAATAGTGATTACTTAGCAACTAAACTCAGCTGACCATTCGGTTGATATGATGCTTGTAATTGGGACTAGAACAACTATACTGGATCTCAGACTAGATTTCACCATTTAAGGAAAATGGGACATAATCAAGTTGTAGCTATGTATGTAGATATGTATAAAATTGAACAGCTAACAGTACTTTTATTATACAAATTATAAACGTACTGTTAGCCACTGATTCACCACAGGTTTCACTGCATTAAAAATAAATTATTGCTGATTTGAAAACGTATATATTTTTTTATTATTTCCACTGTTCTAGAGCTGTTTTTTGTAGTACTACTAAGGGTCAGCAGGTGGCAGCCAATGAAATTTGAAGCATCAAGATGTAATGCTTACACTTTACTGGATGTAGTTTGTTTACTGAAAACTGAAGAAACAATGTTTTAAAACTAAACTACAGTATGCTTCATTGTTGTCCCATTATGTTTAATTCAGCAACCGCCATATAGCCGTTTCAGAAATAAAAATTAATATTATATAAAAAAATATATTAATACAATATACAATACTTAGAAAAATAATCCAATCAATTTTGTATAAAATATATTTTTTTACACTAAATTGGATTTTTGAGTTATTTACACACAGATACACAAACGCACCAAAAATCTGTGTAATATAATGTTAATTACATATTATATATTAATAGAATTATATTTTTACACTATATATATATTGTAATACTTGCATATTATATATGAATATAATTATACATATTTTAACACTTAATTTAATTTAAAATAAAAACATTTTAAATTTTATATAGTGTAATTATATTATACAATAATTATATAAATAATTATTTAATAAAATTGCATACTTTTTACACTAAATGTTAAGGCCTGTTCACACCAAGCATGATAACTATAAAGATATTGATAAAGATATTGTTCTAAAAATCATTCTCAATATTAAAGGGGTCATTGTGTTAGAA